TAGGGCTTAGGAATGCATGTTTCGGTGAGAAATAATAGGTAAACACAGGAAGTGATTAAATAAAAAGTTGGATGGGAGTGGAGATTTGTGACAGGACATACAGTGGGTTCTGGGATGCTGGCAGTATTCCATTTGTTGATTTGGGTAGTGGTTGTACAAGTATTTGCTTTACGATTAACCATTGGGTAGTACTTTTTTGTTTTGTGCTCTTTTCTGTATGGGTGTCATATTTCACAATGATTTTTGAAAGATATAGAATGTTTGTTTTCTCCTCTTAGAATCAGGGTGTCTTAGGTCTCTGTTGGAGAGACAAACTGAAAGTGAATGCAAAATAAGCAGTTGTTTAATGAGCTGTAACATGACAAAAGCCATAAGGGAAGGTAGTGGCCTGGACTGAGTCAAGGAAAAAGGTTGCCAAAGGATAAGAAATTGCTGTTGTTTATTCAGCGCTGACAATTGCAGAGGGACAGCGAGTGGCACAGGATCACCAGCAGGGAACAGGGATGACTCCATGTTCCATTTCAACCTGGACAAAATAAACACTGCATTACCCCGCTCCCTGTGCTCTGTCTCAAGGCCCACTAAGAAGCCTTCTCATGACTAATTTGGTTTCTTGAATATTTAGAGACCAAGGCGGGGACTGGATTACTTGAATAAAAGGCATGAATATTCAGATTTCAAGAAAAGTATACTTCCATTATAAATTAACAAAATGACACTCTGATATAATCATTTAGTCTCTAAAGGCTTGTACGGTATGATGCAATGCCCTAGGCAATTATCACCTTTGTGTGATCTGATAAAACTGAGTTCTTACACCTGTATAGCAGAAGCTCAGGCTTTGGTCCCAGATTTACCCACCAAATGTACATACAGCCAGATTATCTTATCTCATCAACATTGGCTGATTATTGCAGAAGGTATACTTGGGAGCAGGACCCTACCTGGAGAGAATCCTGGATTTGGAAATAATCTCTGTGGGGAGGACTTCCCAAACCTTCACATTTTATTTAAGGAGGATGTAGGGCTCTGTAATACATTCTAAAAAAGAAAACTACAGACTAATATCTCTCCTGAACACAGGTACAAAGAGATTTGTATACAAATGTTCACAGGAGCATTATTCATAATAACTAAAAAGTGGAAACAGCCCAAAAGTCCATCAACTGATGAATAGATAAACAAACTGTGATCTAGCCATACAACAGAATTCTATTCAGCATAAAAAGGAAAGAACAACTGATACACACAAAAAAACGTGATTCGATTGCGGATTGCTGTGTACCTCCTACCAGGTAGCCCCGGGCCAGGCACAGGCAATGGCTGATCTTGGCCTGCACAAGAGCCCCTCCCAAGAGGCCCCAGAACCATCACACCAGAAGCTGGCTTCAGACCACAACAGAGCCCATTAATCCCACAAGCGGCACACCCAAAGGGTGGTCTCAACAGGCACATGAGCCCACTGGGGCGAATCTAACTCTATGGGATCAGCCCCCACACAGCAGCTCATATCCTGTGAGTGTAGCCAATCCTCATCACCAGTCAGCCTGAGAATCAATCCGCCCACTCTAATGTGCCAGTAATCAAAGCTCAACTACAACAGGAGGGCACAACACAAACCCAAACAAGGGTCACTCCTGGAGCACATGGCACAGGTGATCAGGGAGACTGCACCACTGGGCCCCACATGGCACTTACTACATCAGGCCACCCGACAAAGACTGAGGGACATAGGAGATCTACCTAATACATAGAAACAAACACAGAGAGGCAGCCAAAATGAAGAAACAAACAAACATGTCCCAAATGAAAGAATAGGAGAAAACTACAGAAAAAGAACTAAATGAAATGGAGGCAAGCAACCTACCAGAAACAGAGTTCAAAACTGGATATAAGGATGTTCAAGGAACTTTTGTTGAGAACTTCAACAAAAGAGATAGTAAGAACAAAAAAAGACACAACCATAAAAAGGAACCAGTCAGAAATAAAGAACACCATAACTGAAATGAAGAATACACTAGAAGGCATTGATATCAGATTAGATGAAGCAGAGAATCAAATCACTGATTTGGAAGACAAGGTAACAGAAAACACCCAATCGGAACAAGAAGAAGAAAAAAGAATGAAAAAATAAATGAGGATAGTTTAAGGGACCTCAAGCGTAACAACATTCACATCATAAGAGTACCAAAAAACATGGTTGGATCTGAGAGGCATTATGTGGAGCAAAAGAAGCTGGACCCAAAAGGGTATTCATGGAATGATTCTAGTTATACAAAGTTCTAGAACAGGCAATAGAAATCAGATCAGTAGTTGCCTGGAGCAGGGGTAGGGGTTGGGGAATTGACTATAAAGGAGAATGAGGGAAGTTCCTGGAAAGATGAGAATGTTCTATATCATGGTGGTTCTGTAGGGGTATACATTTGTCAAAACTCATCAGCCTGTAGACTTAAAATCTATGCATTTTAATATATATATATATAAGTTATACCTCAGTAAACTTGATTAAACAAATATAAAAGAACATGGGATCTGGAAACAAACTACCTGGGTTTGAGTCTTTCTTCCTGGATCCACAGTTCAAGAGCTGTGTGACCTTGGACAAGCTATATAGCCTTTCTAAGCCTCCGTTTCCTCATCTGGAGAATGGGGACGTCACTCAGATGTAGGAGGGGGAACACACCTGTTGTATCCAGATGTTGTGTGTGTATTAAGAACGGCTCTGTGTTGACTATGTGCCAGGCACTGTGCTGAGCAGTTTGCACAAAAGGGCCACCAAGTGGGGGAAAGAAGGAATGTGTGCACCAGTCTCCTGGGCTCTTTTCCAGCCTTGAACTCTGGGAATGCGGGTGGGGTGGGGGTGTATTTCTTTTGGCAGCGAGGGCTGCCATAACAAAATATCGCAAACTGGGTTCCTTAAGCAACAGAAATTTATCTTTTCATAGTTCTGGAGGCTGGAAGTTCAAGATCAAGGTGCTGGTAGCTTTAGTTTTTCCCGAGGCCTCTCTCATTGGCTTACAGATGGCATTTTCTCGCTGTGTCCTCATATGGTCTTTCCTCTATGCCTATATCCGTGTCTCTCCTTCTTCTAAGGATTGTATTAGGGCCCACCCTAATAGCCTCATTTTAAATCAATCACCTCTTTAAAGGCCCTATCTCTAAATGCAATCACATTCGGAGGTCCTGGAGGTTAGGACTTCAGCATAGGAATTTGGGGAGGGGGGAGACACAATTCAGCCCAGAACAGGATGAATCCAGGCTTGACCCACCTTGCATAGGAATGTCTAAGAACAGGACCTTTTTATCTTTGATGAGTAGAGAGACAGCTCAGAACAACAGCTAGAAAGACCAGATCAGTGATCTGTGTCCCCATTTTACAGCTGCAGGCCCTTGGATGTGGCACTTCAAGTCTCTGAACTTGACCACACTAAAAGGGGATATAGTCTTATCTCACAGGATTATTGGGAAGAGCTCGTGGAACGACACTATTGACATGGGCTTAACTGGATTAGGCCATGTCCGTACCATGTAACAACACAGCTATTGAAATGATAGGGTAATTATCTCAAAGCAGAAAGTTTAAAAGAATGATAGTGTAGAAAAAGTTTAAAAGAATGATAGTATACACCTGTGTATCTGCATATAAAGAAGCTCCATGATCCAGAGCTGAACGAGCAAAGTAAATTCCAGCACAGTGTCAGTGGGCCTCAACTCTCCTGCATCACAATTTCTGTGGATTCTCACCCAACTTTCTGGAGAGGCGCAGGCACTGGTATTAAAAAACCAACTAAGTAAAAGCAAACAAAGGTTTTTCTCATCTGCAGCTCAGGGCTAAGAACCACAGATTCATAAGGACTGTTATTTTGTCTTCACTGTGTAGCAGACACTGTTCTAAGCACTTTGTGACTATTAACTCACTGAATCCCCACAACCACCCTGTCCTACAGATGAGAAAAGTGAGGCATGGGGAGGTGAAGATGCTTGTTCATGACCGCACAGCTGGTGGATGGTGGGGGTGGGATTTTAACTCAAGCAGAGTGGTTCCAAAAATCTAGAAGAATTCCATGGGGTGGGGAAAGGTGGAGGTGAGCAGAATTTGGAATTTTCAGTTTGAGTCTGTAGGGGAGGGGCCCAGGAACCCAAGGATCAGCCATATTTGGAAACTTAGAACAGTGGTTCCCAACTTCCTGATAAAAACCGCCCCAGGGAACTCTTTTAAATGTAGAGATGCCTGAATATCTTTCCTGGGGATTCTGGTCCCAGGAATCCATATGTTTAGCCAGGGTCCCAGTCAGGGCTGGCATCGTGGGCATGGGGCTTCTGCAGCCACATAGAAGCTTTCGGTCAAAGTTTCTTTGCTGTGGACAGCTTGAAATTCTTCATAACTTTATCTTTCAACTCGTGTTTTGTAAGTGATAGGACACTGTGACGTGTACTGGGGCTCACAGCCTGGCCCACCTGTGATCTCACCTCCCACCACCTCTCTGCCTCTCTGAAACTGATTCTCTACAGCCAGTGCCCCACAACTGGTGCCCTGGTGACCACTGCTGCTCTCTGCCCCTCACCCTCTAGTCCTGATTCTGCCGGGGTTCCGTCTGTGCAAAGGCAGGTTACTGCTTCTCAGTCCTCCCTCCTGCGCTGCCGGTGTCTAGGGTGACAGGAGAGCACAGGAGGGGACACCACCAGAGTTGTACCCTAAGCCTATGCTTTTCAGAAGAAGTTAGTTAAAAGAGAGGGTGTGGGCACAAGAAGCAATTCAGAGGGATGTGGGTACAAACGGGAGCTGGGGTCCACTCCAAGAGTAAGACTGCATTCGTAACCCTTAGTCGTATGGTACAATAGAAGCAGCTGGCAAAAGTGGGAAATATTGATGCCCACCCTCCCCCAGTTCCATTGGTCTGGGGTGGGGCCCAGATACTAAGAAGTTCCCCTGTGATTCTAATGACTCACCACGATTAAGGGATTACAGGGGCATCTGAAAGATTTCCATGGATGGATTAGGGGCTGCGGGTACTCTGTGCACTTGGACTCGTACTTTCAGAGCTGGAAGCACCCCCGGATGTGCTCAGGACCACTCCCGCCTGTTGTTACAGAAGAAGAAATGGATTCCGAGAAGGCTGAGGTGAGACTAGGACCCTCTCCCCGCTCCCAGTCCTTCCCACCCTAGGCAGGTCGACGCCAGAAATCCCAAAGTGAGCGCGCCTCAATGCTTGCAGAACGCTACGCGGAGGGGTCGCCGAACGCCAGGGCTGGCTATAAAATCCAGGTGTTCCTCTTGCTTTACTTTATCCAGGGATGAGGCGGGGCGGGGCAGGGTGAGGCGTGGCTCCGGGCGCGGCAAACGCTAGGTGGCGCCCGAGAGCCGGACCTAATAGACTCCCCGGAGTCCTGGGGGTTCCGCTGCTCCAGGCAGCAGAGCATCGCCCCTTGTGTGGCCCCGTTTCCTTGCCTATTTCACAGGACTGTCAAGCGAATTGCCTGTAATAGAACTTCTCATGACCTAGCACTTGTCTGGCCCCTTGAGAGTATGTAACAGAGGATACCTACCTTCCCTCTCGCCTTCTCTCACACTAGGTAGGCCTGTTTTTTCAGGTGAGTTGCACATCTTTTTTAGCAAATCTGGTATATTCTTCAGTTTCCTGCTCAGTGCGTGCCTCAGAGGACAGTCTATTGGAAAGAAAATCACATTTTTTAAAAACAGGCAATTTATTAGAATAGAGTCAAAGAACATACTTTCTACACTAATCTGATGGGACAGTCAAGTCACAGTGAGGACCCTGAGTCACTAGAAAGTCCCAACTCAAAAAGGATCCAGTTTTGTTCAGCGTTATTTCATGTAGCGTGCTTTAAATATTTTATAACAATTTTAGAACCAGGGACCTATCACTGAGGCTACTACTAATGGTAGCCCTCCCTAACACAGAACATCACAGAAAACCCAACAGCCAAACACATTTTGAAGGTGTCATCTTGCAGTTCTGAGTACTTAAAATATTTCCTTTTGAGAAACTTGAGTTCGTTAGCTTCTGTAAAATGGTCTTTCCCATTGTTACCAATTATTTCTTTTTCTCTCTCCCCATTTTATTTAAGAGATTTCTTCAACTAACATTTATTTGCCAGTCTCTGAGTCAGATCCAGAAATATAATAATAATAATAATAATAAAAATAAAAATAAAATAATAATAATATAGAAACCCATCCCTACCCCTAGGAAACTCACTATCTATGGAGAGAAAGGAAGATATGTAAATAATGCGAACACCATGTGCTCAGGGATTTTACAGAAACCTGTGTGTTCAGAGGAATCATAAAGGAGCAATTCATTAATTTTTTAAAACTTTGTATTATGAAGAATTTGAAACAGAAACTAAAGTAAAAGGAATAGTATGATGAATCCTATCATCCAACTTACAAAATTATCAGCATTTTGCCAATCTTGTTTCATCTATGCCTCATCACCATGCTGGCTATTTTGTTTTACAGTGTTAAGGTATAATTACAAACCAAAAAATTCACCCACTCTAAATATACAAGTATAATGCAATGATTTTTAGTAAGTTTATAGTTGTGCCACCATCATCACAATACAAGTTTAGAACATTTATAATATCCCCACATTTTTGCTCCTGTCTATTTGCAGTTAATTCTCATTCTCATCCCCAGGCAACCATTCATCTTTTTTCTGTCTCTATTGATTTACCTTTTCTGGACATTTTATATTAATGGAAATATATAGTATGTAGTCTTTTGCATCTGGCTTCTTTCACTGAGCACATTTTCAAGGTTCATCCATGTTGTAACATGTATCAGGACTTAATTCCTTTTTATTGCTGAATGATATTCCATTATATGAATCTACCACATCTTATTTATCCGTTATTAGTTGATGACACATTTGGGTTACTTCCACTTTTTGGCTAGTATGAATAACGGGCCTATGAATATTCACATTCAAGTACTCGAGTGGATATATATTTTCATGTCTCTCTGGTAGGTATATCGGAGTGGAATTACTGGATATTTATGGTAAGTTTATGCTTAACATTTAAAGAAACTGCCAAAATTTCCCCCAAAGTGGCTGTTCCATTTTAAATTCCCATCAGCAACGTAGGAAGATTCCAATTTCTCCACATCCTTGCCAACACTTATTTCTTTTTGATTATAGCCACTCCAGTGGGTATGAAGTGGCATCTATGTAGTTGTAGTTTAATTTGTATTTCCCTAATGAATAATAATGTTGAACCTCTTTTCATGTGCTATTTGGCCATTTGCATATTTTTGTTGAAATGTCCATTCAAACCTTTTGTCTATTTTTTTTAAATAAACTTTTTAATTACAGTTTTAGCTTTACAGAAAAATTGTGAAGAGAGTACAGACTCTCCATATCCCTCACATTTAATTCACCCATTATTAACATCTGACACGATATTAACATCTGACAAGAGTGTGGTACATTTATCACAATTAGCTGAAGTCCACACTTGGCTCTGATTTCATTCGTTTTTTACCTAATGCCCTTTTTCTGTTCCGGGGTCCTATCCAGGACACCACATGGCTGTTAGTTGTCATGTCTCCTTAGGCTCCTTTTGGCTGTGACAGTTTCTCAGACTTTTTTTTTTTTGGTACCTTGACCTTTAATAACCTTAGCAGTTTTGAGGAGGACTGGTCAGGTATTTTGTAGAATGTCCCTTAATTGGGATCTCTGTTGTTTTTCTCATGATTGGAATGGGGTTATGAATTTTTGAGAGAAGAACTCAGAGGTAAAATGGCTATATTAGTCTGCGCAGGGCTGCCATAACCAATACCATGAACAGGTCAGCTTAAACAACAGAAATTTATTCTCTGACAGTCTGGAGGCTGGAAGTCCAAGATCAAGGTGTCAGCAAGGTTGATTTCTTCTGAGTCCTCTCTCCTTGGTTTGCAGATGGCTGTCGCCTCCCTGTGTTCTCACACAGTCCTCCCTCCGTGCCTGTCTGTGTTTTACTCTCCTCTTCTTAAAAAGACACCAGTCATATTGGGTGAGGGCCCACCCCAATGACGTCATTTAACTTCAATGACCTTTTTAAAGATCCTATCTCCAAACACAGTCACATTCTGAGGTACTGAGAATTAGGACTTCAAAATATAATTTTGGGGGGAGGGGAGACACAATTCAGAGCCCATAAGAATGACATTCTCATCATATCAAGGGTCCGTGTTATCAGCCTGACTTATCACTGTTGATGTTCACCTGGATCACCTGGCTGAGGTGTGTTTTTCAGGTTTCTCCACTATAAAGTTATTCCTTTCTTTCTCTTTTTCATACTGTGCTCTTTGGAGAGAAGTCATGATGTGCAGCCTGTACTTAAGGAGTGGGGATTATGTTCCACAAAACTCTTAGAAGAAACACAGGGGTAAGTCTTCATGACCTTGGTTTTGGCAATAGAATCTTAGATATAACACTTAAAGCACAAGCAACAATAGAAAAAAAATAAATTGGACTTCATCAAAATGAAAAACTGTTATCAGAGGATGTTATCAGGAAAGTGAAAATACAATGTACAGAATGGGAGAAAATATTTGCAAATTATATATCTGGTAAGGGTCTAGTATCGCAAATATATAAAGAACACTGACAACTCAACAAAATGGCTAAACTTTAGCTTTTACAAATAAATGCTATAATGAAGAACCTTGTGCAGAAGATATTTTGCATGTTTGAGCAGATCTGCAGAATAAATTCCCTGAAGGGCAGGTCCTTTTAAAATTTTGACAGCTGTTGTCAAATTGCCCTCCGTTGAGGGTGCACCAGTTTCGATTCTTGCCAGAATTCATTTCTAAACCTACTCTGAAATATGCCAACACTGACCAGAGTGCTCATGGCAGTGTTATTCATAATAGTTCCAAACTGGAAAGCAACCCAAAGGCTCTTAACAGGAGAATGGATAAATTATGGTCTCGTCACACACTGGAATACTACAAAGTAATGAAAAAGAACAAAGCTCTGTGACCCACCATGTGGAGGCATCTTACCGGCGTGTCACTGAAAGAAGCCAGAAGACACCAAACAGGGCTTACTATGGGATTCCAGTGAGATGCATCAATCACAAAGTTAAAAGGAAGATGCCATCTATGGTGACAGAGATGAAGACAGTGGTTAGCCTCGGATGGTGGGGGTATTGACTACATGGGCACAGAAATGTCCTTTACCTGGGTCTGGGTGATAATTACCCTGGTCTATAAATACATAAAAACTCATCGAGCTATGTGTGCCTCACTGATGTAAGTCATAGCGCAATAAAAAGGAAAAAGGGTTTAAAAAAAAAAAAAGCCAACACTAATGTGCTAACAACATGGCCAGGGCCGCAGGCAGTCTCCTTAGCTACTAGGTGTCACATGCAGACCCTGTGTCTCTTTTGTCCAGTCTTGAACTAGCTGTGTGTTCCAGTTGTAAGGAGGGGAGGCCTAGGAGGGAAGGCTCCCCAGCTGTCTAGGGTTCCTCCTCACACTCAGAGGTACGCCCTGTTGGGCTGCTCTCTTAGTGTGCTCTTCCCCAGCGCCGCCCCCTGCCCAGACCATTCCCTACACCAGCTGTTGAGCAGCTGCCTGGTTATTTATAGCCTTGGGGCTCTGCATGAAAGGAGCCTCACTCAGCAGCTCTTTCCTCCTTCCACTGACCCCACTTCTGAGCCCTTTTCTCCCTACCCACCCCAGGCTTTCATGTTTCTGGAACATTCCAGGTCCCACTGCTGGGCTATGTATTGCTGTGGCGAGGGGCCTGCCCTGCAGAGCTATTTCCTGGAGCTCACCTCTAGGACTCTCCTGAAGTGACCTCAACTCTCTGAAGGGCTTTTGGATGAGACAAGAGAGCTTATTTCTCACCAGACTCGGGCCAGACCCCAGGGTTTTGGGCACTCTGTGGTCTCTCTGGGTGAACACCCATTCGGAGGCTCAAGAGGGGGGGTTGGTCCCTTCCTGGGAAGCAACGCCTCTCCTCCTCAGGATCTCTTGGGCCTTCTGGCTAAAGAGGCCTGCCAGCCTCTGTCCATCACGCTTCTCCTATGCCTGGTGCAGGCCTCTGGGAGACCCGGCGTTCCTGGTTCTGAGGAACAATTTAACAAGGGGCTAAACTCTTGTCCCTTGTCCCCTATCCCTCTACCAGCGGGGCCCAATGGCAGCATCCTTCAGGAAACTTGAATCTTTTCTCTGAAGCCCATGTGGCCCCAAGTTAGTCTTGTTCCTTATTTCAGAGAATGAGAATGCTCCCACCCCGACCCCAAATCAGAAGGGTGGTTGGCTAGCCATGAAGAGAACAAACCAGACACCATGCTTTCCATTGTTCAGCTGAAAACTCTGTGGGGAAGCCCATTCCCTGGGCATAAGGTATAAAACTTCAGTTCTTCTATGTTACCAGAAGAAGGGCACTTACTGCAGGAGACATGTTCTGAAAATGTCATATAGAAATGAATTTAAAAATCAAATCCATTTAAAAATAGTAAAGGCATTTGCCTGATTGCCTCCTTCCTTCCTTCCTTCCTTCCTTCCTTCCTTCCTTCCTTCCTTCCTTCCTTCCTTCCTTCCTTCCTTCCTTCCTTCCTTCCTTACATTTGAGATCCCCTTTAACTGGGGAGGAAGTCATGTAAACCAGACTTAAATGGACTTCACTGTAATGTGAAGGCCCAAGGTCCACATTCTATAACAGACAAAGCTGAGCGAACTGACCGCCCCCAGGAGGGTGCGACTCCCCCATCTATATGGGCTGAGAGGTGGGACAATGAGGCTAAACTGTTGAGGAGCAAAGAAGTTCACTTTGCTATGACCTATCGCCTCCGTAGATCCAGGGTTTTTGGTGGCCTGAGTGCAGCTGACCAATCAGAATCCCCCCTCAGGCTCGGCCTGTGCACAGCATGCAGGGCCAAGGTGTTATTGGCAGAAAAACAAGAGCGAAATTAGTTTGTGTCCTTTGAGTCTGTGGCTGCCTGCCAATGTTTCCTTCAAATACGCACATTCTCATTTTCATTCTGGAAGTTTTTGTCAGGTTTATTGCAAATGGAAGGGTGAGCAGACAGAAACAAAATGACATTTCCTGAGCTGTAAGGACTGTTCCTAAATCTATTCTCAAGAGCACACCGACATTTGTATGCTTTTTTCTGGGCGACTTTCCTTCATGGGGGTTTAGAATTCAAGTCAGAGACGGCCTCATTTTACGACCAGTCTTGGGTCTCTAGACGCATGCGCGTTTCCACACGTGCGCAGGAAATAGGCATATGGCCAGTATATGGTGAGGACTATGGTGAGCCACCGCTGGAAACATATGCAAGACAGATGGGCACCAAATCCACAAGATAATGGAGAATTCTAATGAATTTCATTGGCATCAAATTTTTATGTTCCTGTAAACTTATGAAAGTCATGAAATTAAATGACTGCCTTACAACAATACCAGAGTGACTAATTTAATTAAAAAGAAAAGAAAAAAAGAAAAAGCACGCCAGAAAAACTAAATGGCAAATCCAAACTAAAACAAATACCCTTTTAAAAACAGAGAATGCTATCCCTGAATTTTAACGTTTGCTCACACCTCCCTTTGACTATAAGAGTTTGTTATACAAGGTACTTTCTTATTTTTCAAAAGGACGTGATAACCTGGGTATGCTAGTTGAGTCAATGGGAGTCTCTCTCCAGATGGTAATGGACTAGAAATGCCCTGTCTCTGACCACCGAGCAGGTCCAGGGTGCCACCTGGGATGACTAGTTCAATCGCAGGAAAGCCACTGGGCATGATTCTATCTAAAGAGATGCTTTCTTATTTTCACACACGCTTGATAAAAAGAGGTGAATTATGTTTCCTTCGTGGACCAAAAAATTTAGCCATCTGACATTTGTTCATATGCACATCTAAAGACCTTTGTCTTCACCCCCCTGCACATCACTCCGTGGCTTGGAGAGCAAAACTGTTCTTTCTAGATAACTGGGCTGAATTTAAGAGCAAAAACAAAAAGCCCAATCTTCTCCCAAGGGGAGCGTAGCTTCTCTTTGTATTGTATTTGCTAATCAGCTTTGCAAACCTGTTTACCTAACACCAGTGAAAAAGTCAAACTCAGAGGGAAAAACTACACCCGGAACAGTCAGTGCAGGAAATCTGATCCAACCACACGTGAGAAGAGTGGTCTCTGACTCGGGCGCCTAAGCTTGTCGGCTCATTTTCAGCATATTCTTACAACCCAGGGAACTGGCAGTCACACTTCCAACTTAAAAGATTGGGAAACGGGGCCAGTGAATAAATACTTACTTTGGATCTGTACTATTGGATCCAAAAAAACAGTCATTGGAAAAAATGAGCCCTTTTCTTCTATTTTTGCTCAAAGTAGTCCAAAGAAAACAAGTTTTGGTTCACTCCTGTCTGTGAGCTCAGCTCAGTGTTGAACAAAGTCCAGCGAAATCAGAGCAAGTTGGCACCAGACATGCATCCCATCCGTGTTCCTTAATGAAGGGGTTTCATTTTCCTTTTGGCTTAGGGAGAGAGACCCCAAGGGAGAGGACGCTTCTTTGCCTTCTCTCTATATTTTCCTGTCTCCACACGTTCCTCCTTGAGGAAAGGGGCCACTGAACTGTCCAATCTCAAGGGTGGCATTCAAGGCCCTGAAAACTTGCAGCTCTACAGTGTGTTCTGGATACTTCTACTCAAGCTAAGGGGAGTTAATGGCGGCCCAGAAGAAGGCAGCCTGGATCGAGGGCTGCGGCACCTTCTCCCTAAAGTGCCTGCATCTGGATTAAACCAGTTTGTGACCCCCTTGGACTGCACAGTGCACACACACAGGTAAGCTCTATGTGAATTGGCACTACATTAAAGACAGGTTTCAGGAGTCTTCCAGGTAAATTCATTTTCTGGTTGATAATTTATATTGAGCACAGTTTTTACTTGAAATTGTGCCAAGCGCAGAATAAATAAGCAACAACATTTGAGTTAATTATACTGTATTTTGAATTATTTTCCCAGCGTTTCTCAATCAAGAGTGTGAAGTTTTCTCTGATACAGTAAAACATTTTAATATACAATAGATTACAAGGTCCATAGCAATGAATGAAAGATAATGTGCTTTTATCTATATACAGAAATAGCTTAATAGTTCACAGATATAATTCTTCCTGGTTTTGGTTGACAGAGCATAAGCAGTTTCTTATTTTTTTTATTTACAATTAGGCTCCTTCCCTTATTTAACTGAAAGGAAACTCTGAGTTCCTCTCTCAGCAGTGCTTTTATCTTCTGGAAAAGAGAAGATGGTTAAGTGTAAATGAGAAAAAGGTTGGAGGGGAGGAAAAAAAGAACCACAAGCACTTTCTACAAAATACGATGATTAAAAAAGAAAATTATCCATGCTTTGGAATGGAAAGATTATACTCTTCTGTGATGTCTTTCTGTATTTCATGATAAGCAGGGTGCAGTGCCCATGCGTAGGAAGCCTCAGTCAGCTTGTGTGACAGAAGGTCAGTTTTAGGATAGAACATATAATCACTCACAAGTCAAAAGTCTGCTTGAACAAACCACGTTATCCCTTCACAGTGATATACCACCATCAACAACAAAAACATGCTCTGGCCATCTGTCAGGAGAAAGCTGGAGGGGGCGATGTGACTGGGTCATGTTACACCCCCGCTCGCGGGTCTCACAGAATCGGTTTTGGTATGAGGAGAACTGCATGGACTGAGACAGTGGAGGTTGATTTTCGTAATTGGATCATCTCAGGGATGGTTAAATCCTGGAATGCTGTCTGTTACAAATCATGCAATTGACACAGGATTTCCAAGAGGATGTTAAGGCTTTGGGTTTTTCACTTGGTGCTCATCTCTGTGTTGTTACTGGTGCTTCGGTTTAATGCTGTAGCATGAAGAGGGTGCAGCCGGAAGCCCTGCTGGCACACCCCGTCTGATGGCTTATGGCGGGCCTGCAGCTGTGGCACTTGAGGGGCGCAGAGATGGCTAAGGGCTGACTGGGAGCTGAGCCGAGCTGCATTATGTCACTGAATGTTGGTGAACTGCACTTATTTGACATTCCCAGCTGGTCCTGTGCTCTGTTCCTGCCCAAGTCCAGGGGCAGCTTTGGGGCCCTCAGGACCATTGTTGGAATTGGCTGGGGTCTTTATGGGTTCCATGCTGGCCTGAGAGTCTGGCTCACTGCTGCGGGGCCCAGGAGCAGAGGGACGAAGATCCTCCTTCTAAGCCCAGATCAAGCCCAGTACATCCAGTTTGCCACTCTGGCAGCTTTTGGTGTCTGAAACCGGAAAGGGCTTGTAGACAATATTCTACAAGGGTGGTGGGTGCCACAGGCTTGCCCAGGACCTGGTGGCAGTTTATGGCAACGGGCTTGGAGCTTCTCAAGCTGGGCCAGTGCACGAGGTGTGGACTAGGAAAAGTGTTACAAGCAGAACATGAGGTCCCCAGAGTTCACCAAGAAGCCAGAGAGACAGCAGGACAGTTGGTGCTGTGTTGGGGCTCAGAGGAACTGGAGAAAGGGAGAGCCAGTCTCCTCCTCGCTGCCATATGGTCTCAGGGCACACTGGATGCTCGCACGGGCACTGGCAGAGCTCCTGCTCCAAGTCATCCACAGGGCTGTTGCTATGGGCACGGACGCACAAAGGCTTGTGCTTGCACGGTGGTGACAAAAGCCACCGGTCGGGAACACAGGAAAACTCTTGGAGTTCTGGTAACCATCGAATGGCTAATTCACTAGCACATGCTAGGTTTTCTCTCAAAGCACGCAGGTCTGAGCCTACTGCGATTCTGCCAACAAAACAAATAGTTGAAGGAGGTGAAGAAATTTGGAAATTAGATGTTAAAAGGATTGAAGCAGCCCACTGTATTGACGATTTAAGAAAAGTGAATTGAAGAATTTGGATCACTATCCATATGATTCACAAATAAATTCATTCGATACATTTTGTCCTATTTGAAATACTTTAGAAAAAAATGATGCTTTTATCCTAGATTATCTGGATAACTGCTTCAAATCTTTTTTTTTCCAAATAATTTTACTTTATCTTCTTAGGCTTTATTGAATTAATTTCCTGAAAGTTTATATAAATGACATTCTTCCATGTTAAAAAACATACCAACAAATCTGAGCGTTCTTCCTGTATCATGGTAGATTAGGGCTCTTGAGAAGTCTATGGAAGTCTTTGAGTGAAATTTTTGAGAAGTACAACTTGTCATGCAATTACTATAAATAGGAGACTAAGGACAGTATTCACACATATTCTTCTGTGCTAAATGAACATTCTAAATATATCTGTGATCATCAGAAATCTATATTCTTGAGAAAAAAGAGATATCATTCTGGCAAACCAAAATTACTAAAGAAAAGTTCCACCAACACACCACATTACAAAACTTGCTTCTAAAAAGTAGACTCTGGGCTTCCTCAGTCCTCTGTAAATAGTCAACACTTTTTACCCAATATTCCCCAAATGGTGTGCAACTTGCAAATTCTATTCTATGATATTTATTTCAAATTAAATGGCCAAGTAATATTGTTTTTTTCTTTCCCTCTAATATTTTCCTGAAATGCTGGAGATGTACAGATAGATGATAAGGGTGGTTTAAAAAATACCTAACATTATACAGAATAAAAAATTTTATTGTATAATCAATACAAAAAACCACGATTTTGTGTTAAAGGTACATGATCTACTTCTGTTAAATTGGCAAGTACTATAGAACACCAACATAATCTGTGTTTTACACTGATCTTTCTGAAGGCACCAACCAACGTGTTGCAAACTTTGCCTATCTTCCCTGATGGTCTTTGTTAGCATGTGGACACAAGTCCATATGAACACTTGAATGTTAAAATGTCTCCATGTTAAGCACACAATAGATAATAACTTAAATATCCAAACCCATAATTCAAATAGCCAGTGTTACAAAAAGAAGGGGAGAAGGAGAGAGAGGAAGGTGCAGTTTACCTTGTTGGTCACTTGCTCACTATTGTCTACTCTCACCATTTTAAATGCACAATGTCCCACTTCACCACCTGGATTCTTTGTTCTTTCCTGGCAAAAGAATGGGGAGGCCAAGAAGTTAGATGGTTTGGATTTGCAGCATGCTGTTTTCTGGCTGTGTAGTTGGAAGTCCTAGACAACGGGCTGAACCTGGGCAAGCCACTCAGTGGCTCTGAACCTGACTTTTCAAATCTGTAGAACAGAAAAAATACCTCTGCCTAGCTACTTTGATGAGGCATCATGAGGACAGATGGGGTTCCAGGTGTTTTAGAGTTCCTTGGAAGAAACGTGTCATATAATGGGAAACTACTTTACATGTAGAGGCATATTTGCATATGTGAGAACTGAATTTAGTGGCTAAAAAGTTACTTTCCTTAAATTAATAGAGTCAACTAATGAAGTTGCCATAGTTTTATCTATATTCCTGAAGTTAGGGAATGAGCGTGGCATGGCACTGAAACCTACTTGGGAGGTCACAGATGATGGTGGCATGGGGGTGAGGGCACATGTGTCCTTGGAGAAGAATGGCCGCCCATGACACACAGAGACAGAACTGGGGAGGGCGGGTCCTCGGTTGAAAAATTCCCAGAGGCCAGTTCTAAAGACCACAGAGGTTGGGAAGCTGGAGAGAAAGGGAGATGGCTGTCCTAAGAAGGCAGGCATGGTGAGCCGCTAAGGTTTGACTTGAGCACAAGGATGTCTGTCTACCCATGCCCAAGGGAATCCAAGCAGAGCATGGACGTCAACATCACTCTCCTTTCCCATTCTGCTTTTCCCCCAGAATCACATGGACAAGTTCAAACAATTCCTCTTTTCTGACACCATTCCTCACCCTAACCTAGAGGGCAAGACTTTTTGTTTGCTCAGAAGATCAAGGTCAGAGAAAGATGGAAAAAAGAGTAACTCTATCAAAAGGCTGCTGGAAGCCTGGCTGTCTTACCTCACGGCAGGCACAGGGTGGAGATGGGATCAGGAGACTTCCAACCACCATGCTTCTCTCCGAGAGAAGGGACGTACTTTACTGGGTGGTGTTATTCCAGAAAGGCGCCCACCAGCCAAATCAGTCCAAGCCACTGCCTTGTTCTGCTCTGAGACACTCGTGCTAGAACCCCCAATCACCGTCAGGAGAGGATTGTTTTAAAAATAAAATGTCTATCTTATGAATAGCACGTGGAGTGGCACCTCTCTAGTTCAGGGTCCAACATATTGCTGTAGTTGTTTTTCTCCGAACATTTCTCATCTGTTGCTCTGAGAGACTCAACAATCCATAAGATCATAAACATGAAAATAATCTCTAATGGGTTACTGAAGACACCAACGAGCCAGTGTTTTAAAACGTCAGTGAGGAGAGGGATGTCACTATGTAACCTGAAGTATCTTGAACTTCCCTTTAGTTTACTGGTGGAATTCACAACAGTAAAGTCATCATTAAAAGCAGCTTCTAATCACAGCTGTTCCTTAAATATTCTCAAGTTTCATAGTGAATTTAACAATCTCAAAAAAGGGAGCTTTGGCATTATTTGGCACAGTAAGTACTCAGTAAATACTGGCTGTTACTTATCTGTTGGGAAGAGTTTGACTAACTTTATATATTGAAAAGCTCTTTGAATGACTCTTCAAATATATTTAGGTAACTCAGACATAAAACTCTAAAATATAATTTTGATTGGAAAAGTATAAATAAGCAACATTAACATGTTTAATCAAGTTCCCAATGGAGAGCCCAGAAATGCTTGGAAACTGGATCTGCAGATAGTTACAACTAAAAATCACCGTTTGTCTAGTTATTGCAGATCATGGGTATTTTATTTGGATCCAGGAACTCCTGCAATTGTGTGCAACATTAAGAGGGTTTATTTTCATGTGCATTTTTTTTTTTTCGTGGAGAAAGGAGCCACAGCTTTCATCAAACTATCAAAGGCTTTGTGAGCCAGAAAAAGGTTCAGAATTGCTGCTGTTGATGACAGGTATCAGGAAGCACTAATATTGCTCAACACATCATTGCTTAATTCACTTCTCCTTCCGACTTTCAGGCCCAGCAGGAATATGAGAATTCCCCAAGCTTAAATTACTCTAATACATAGTAACAACTCTCTGGAGTCATGTTATTAAAAAAAACCACAATTTTTACAAAGGAACCATATAAAAATAGACACTCGGGAGATTTTAAACTTACACGTATATGGTGTGCAAGTGTGTACTTTTTCTTAATCACTTCCTGTCACTTATCTCTTTTCCCAGTTCGCTTCCTTTTCCTGGAACTTGGGATCTATTCCAGGTAGCCACAATGATAGATTCCCACAGCAGAACAAAGCAACCACGTGTGAAAGAGATTTCAGACAAAAGAGAAACCAAAAACAGTTAAGTTCTGAGGCTTGTTGTGAAAATTAGAGGCGGCCTTTCAGGACTGTTTGAGAAATGCTCTAAGTTCCTGGGTGCCCTTTCTAGTCAAGAGACCCATGTTCTCATAAGACCTTCCATGCAGCAAAGACTGCCATTCTCTAACCTCTTGGAAAGGTTCCTAGGGATGCCTGTGGCACAGTCTGGGGAGGAAAGAATGCCCTCCTCAAGGTACAGTGTCCTCACTGGCATCAGGTCCTAGCAGAGAATCACCTACAAGCTCGATCCCTGTGAGCTGAGGAGCAAGGATGGGCGGGTGCACACCTCCATCTCCCTTTACTGATTCTACAAGAGGACCTCTGTGTTGATTGCTCATAAATACTGGACCCATCAGGAAAAATCCTTTCGGGAAAAGGCTCTAAACACCAGAAGATCCAGTTTGGCTCCAAAGTTGGAGGTGTTGTGAAAACCTAGGGTATGTATAAATGGCATGATGTTTCTGGGAAGAGAGGCTCTGTGACTTCAAACAGATTCTGAAATGGCTTTGTGACTTCCCTGTGATACGGGCATTCCCAGGAACTCTGCAAGGGAGAAGCTACATGGCACATCTTTCCAGGAAATTGAATTCATTTTCTTAGTCAATTCCTCTCTTAAGATATTGCAGGAAAAACTACTTAGAAGGCCTAATAAAACAAGGATGTTGACGTAAGCAAAACTAGTCCTGCAACCTGCTTTTTATTTTTTTTAAGTTCCATGTAAACATAAATACTTCTACTCCAAAGTTAACTGTAGCAGATATGTTCATAAAACCCCGACCAAAACACATACACGAATGGGGTTTTGGTTCTTGTTTTTAGTTGCCTTGTTTTCAAAGTCATGACGCAAAAGAAAAGCCAATCTTCCTATTTCAGCCACGAATTGCAGGAAATGCGGGATGCCCCAATCTCTGAAGTGGTACTGGTCTTTTCAAAGAGGAAATACCAGGCATCAAATATTTAGATTTCAGAATATTTTAATGTCCATTTCTTCAGTGGATGCATTTTGAAATTATTAGAATTAACAATTTAAAAATAGTAGAGCAAAGGAAAGACGGAAAATGCAAACAGTTGGTTTTTGCTAATTTCAGATTTCTAGGCATGATGTGATTTTCCGAAACAACCAACCAAAAAAATGCTTACCTTAAAATTCTAAAAATGCAAACCAAGACAGATCTTTGGAAACTACAAATTATTACAGCCCACGGAACGGGAAGCACGAGGCCCTTTGGCTCTCAATGTCATGTGCAAATGTGCAGGTGTCGTCTCCACAAGTGAAGTCAGTGTTAACGGAGTCGTGTGCAGGTGTTGCATAATCTGTGCGACTCTTCAAGCTACTTAAGGGTTTCATAACTGATGCTCTATATTTGTTTGCATTGGATAAAATTATGTGCTTGTTTATAATACATATATATAATTTGATCTGACCCGGGGCCAAGAAAATAGCAATTGCAACTCAAAGCAACTATTTACACACATTCAATTCTGAAGTATTGCTTCCTGCCCTAAGTTCAGAAGAGGTATTGCCACTCTGAAGAATGCATCCGTCATGTCGGTAGCGCTTGAACCCGCTGCTTAGAAACCCGTCCGTCCTCCGCAACTATCTGTTCAATGCCAACAGGGTGAGACACACTGCATTTCCATTGCAGAGATTCTGTGGTTCCGTGTTGAGGTATACTTCAGAGCAGGGAACAGGGAAGGACCAGAGAGCACATCTGAGCTGGTTACTTAGGAAGGTTCAGGGCGTTTTTTTAAAGACAATTTTAAACTCTGGGTGAGCCGCCCATTGCACAATGCTGAACCAGACCATCGGATGGCACGATTCTCTCCCTGTGGTTTGCAGCTTCTCAGGTTCCCAGGGTCAGAAATCATAAACACCTTTGTAGGAGAGGCAGGACAAAAAAGAGTTTGGTAGGAAGGAAGTGTGTGCAGAGATGAACTTTGTTGAGCACGTTTTGAATGAAACAGCAGAGACGCCGGTAACTCATGGGCAACTGCCCAGCCCCTTAGGTGCCACCAAAGCTACAGGGCCTGGAGCGAGAAGGCAAAGACACAGGGCTGCACTCCAACACACACCTTAATACTGATGGAAGAAACCCGGAACGCGCCCACAATCCCTATGGACAAGGAGAGCATCAGGTAGTGTTTTCAAGAAAAAATAAAAATTCTGCAGTATTTTCTAAGAATACATTCTTTAGAAGCAAGAGGTATTGTCACAACCATCCTTTCTCCGACATTGGAAGAACAACAAAGTGACAGTAAAACCTGAAGGAATATCTTAGTTACTGAGAATGCTCTCAATTCCCCAGGGTGTTGAGATCCTGGCTACAGCTGCACAGCAAGGTGGTCATCCCATGCATGTCCCCAGGAGAGATGGCTGATCAGAATCAATATTTCATGATGCTGGAAATGGCAGATTCTGTACATACTTGGGGAGGAGGAGTGATAACGGGACTTAACACAGATGTGAGTTACATGCAGATTTATCAGTGAAAAACAAAAATGCATAGGGCACATCGGTGAAGACCTTAAACAGAGAAAGAGCTAGTCCTCAAATTATCCCATGAGCTGTATGTCAGCATCACCTTAAAAAAAAACTGTGACTATGGCAGGGAAACTCTAGCCTGAGTTCAGTTCTACATAAACTTCAAACTCCACGTGGCAAATCGTAATTATAAGCAGGATTGGCAACAAAGGGCACAGAAGTGAGTTTCCTAGGTTTTCTATACTGCCCCTGGTTCAACACCTTATTTGCATCCAGACAGTTCTATCCTAACGTACAGTGCAAGAACACCATTTAAAGAGGGCTGCCATTCGCTCACCGGGTCAAATCCTGTCACAAATAGGCCCTGCGCAGGCCAAGAATGGGAAGGATGGAGAAACTTCTTGAATGTGTGAAGGCCAAGACAGCGCCGGCACTGCTTCCCACCCTTGTGCTCTCCCCAGACCTCCTAGTTCACACCAAGCAGGGTTCTGATCCGATTCCTGCAGCGGCACGCAGGGCAGAAATAGCGGCATTCGATTTAAAAATGGTGGCAGAGGGTTTCTCTGACTCAGAGCACTGTGTCCGCTGGGGTCCTGCCTGGTCCCCTTGTTGAAGAGGGGACCCAAAGTGGCTAAAACACTAACAGACATGTTCCCATCCTCTGCTGTGTGCCCTCTGCTGCCCCCGGGAGCCTATTTCCCTTCGCCAGGATGACCCGGCACCCCCCACCCCCTTCCTGAAACACACGTTTCCTGATTAATAAATAAATAAATAAATGCAACCCTTAGACGTTTATTTTCATTTCCCTCTCAGATGAGTCAGACTCAAAGCCAAACCCCTTCGCTCCCAGCTGGAAGACCCCTTGGCACAGGGGCAGACTGAAAACAGCTTTTAAATACCTGAGGCCTGGGTTCACAAGCTTTGTTACTGGTTAGTTAGCATTTGGAATCCTGGCCTGCGTGTGGAGGTGTGGGGAGCTGGGCACCCACAGCCAACGAGGGCCCGGATGCTCTGGAAGGATTGGGGGGGAGGGGCACCGGGCCGTCCTGGCTGACTGCTATTCTCAGCCCATGTCCCCCCTTGACATCCTCTCTCAGGGAGTTACTGGCACTTGATCTCAGATTCATAAATGCAAGTGTGTGTGCGTGTATGTGTTTACATAAAAAGGTCAGGTCACTGGAAAACTCTACTATGTATACAGAAAAAAACAAACCTCAAAAATGTTGTATTAGCAAAAAAGAAAAAGTGTCCTGTGAGAGAAAGCAATAAAAATGATATCTTAACCACAGTTTTTGTTTTCAAAGTCCAACAACACCCAGTGCCAGGATCTCCACCTGCGGCCCCTGTCCCTAGACTCCGAAGCCATGGCCAGCCCCTGAAGGCACTTGTTCTCCACGCTGCTAAACGGTTACACCAAGGGGAGAGGGTTCCAGGGGGAGAAAAAGGAAAGCAATGGGTGAAAATGAACCCTGAATAACTGTGATCCACACAGAAGTTAGGGCTGCAATGACCACATGACACCACATCCAGGGATGGAAACTGTGGTGCCTGGAACGCATAACAGCCAAATACAAATATTATTGTGTTTTGACGAACAGAGCACCGTGGGCAGCATTTGCGCACTGCGTCACACACTCTTTGAGACATTGAGCTTGGTGAGTTCATTGGCTTCTTCCATCCCCATTTCTTCACAGTCGCTTTTCTCTATGGCTTTGCCAAATCGACACCTTTCTTCGGCTTTGACAGGCTCTTTCCAGAGTCTCTTTGAAGATACGTGAGTGTCCTTGGCCTGTGTGTTGTTCTCAGAACCCAGAGATGTCTTGTCTGAGTTCTGTACAGAAGGCACCAGGTTGGCAATCTCGTCCGTGGGAGACCGTCCAATGCTGCCATCCACCTGGACACGGATGTCTGGGGAGATGGACAGCTGGTGCTGTGGCACGACCCCATTGTCCGTGCACTTCGGGTAAAGGTAGGTCTTCATCTGACCTTTGCCCTTGACGTTCACCGTGCCCCTGTAGTCGAAGTCGTAGCCCATCTTGCTGAGGACGCGGTAGCTCTCTTCACTCACCTGGATACGACACTCCACCCCTGTGGTGTCCATCCTGCTGGCGATGTTGACGGTGTCCCCCCAGATGTCATACAGCAGCTTGGTCGTGCCAATGACCCCTGCCGTCAGGGGCCCGTGGTTGAAGCCGACTCTGAGCTTGAAGTTGAACCACAGCATGTTGTTGTTGAAGTCGTCCACTACACGCATCATCTCCTTGGCAAACTCGAACAGGATCTGCAAGTGCTCCTGCGGGTGGCTGCCGTCTTGGCACTGGGTGGCGTTCAGACCCGACGCGGCCATGTACGTGGCCCCAATGGTCTTGATCTTCTCAATGCTGCTGTAGTCTGGCTTGCTCAGGAGTTCGTCAAAGTCCCCGATCAGCTCGTTGAGGACCCGGTAGCACTCCTTGCCTCCCTCGTAGTTCTCCTCGTAGAACTCGCTGAAGTTGACAATGCTGGCGAAGATGACACCCCCGCTGTCATGGTTCTTGGAGTAGGTCTGGGAAACCTTCAGCTGCTCGGCCACATGGTAGGGGATGATGTTCCTCAGCAGCCAGTCGGCTTGGTCCCTCATACTCTGGATCTTGGTACGGTGAAGGTCTGCCTCCACGTCCCCATGGTAGTGAAGGCGGTAGCTGACTTCGAACTCTCGATTCAGGAACCAGACCAACAAAAGCAGGAGGAAGAAGACGAGAATCACCTCCTGGCCAATCAGGCTGGCTGGCTTCCTGCTGTCATGCAGCAATGAACTATTGCACAGATACCTCTCGGAACTGAAGAGGAAAGAGAAGAGAAAGGATGTACCTTCTTAAATGCATCTCTTAAAGAAAACGTTACTCTCCTACTTCCAGGTTCTGAAACTACCCAGCTAACCGGCATCTTGCACAAAGTTTTGTTAAACTCAAACCTTCAAAAACCTGCAGCTGCAAAGCAACCTGTTTCTGTTTAGTTGGCTGGTTAAAGATGTGGAGAGATAAAGACTAACTTCTGTAACTGATTTCTTTAATAAGTGCTTTGTAATTGCTTTATTTTTCAGAAGTCTAGCTTCTTGGTTTAAACAAAAAAATATTTTTTCCCCCAACTTTTTCTTTTGAAAAAACTCAAACCCATGGAAAGTTAAGAAACTGTAGCAAAACATTCATACATCCTTCTCCTAGATTCAACATTGCTAACATTTGCTTTTTTTCTCTGTCAGTGCACACACGCATGCACACACACACTCATCATCCGGGCATGCACAAAACGTGTGCACACATTTTTGCTGAGCATCCTGAAAGTAAGCTGCAGACATCATGACACTTCGACCCTGAATATTTCAGTACATATCTCCTACAAATAAGGCCATCTCCTCCGTACATAACCACACTATTATCATACCCAAGAAACTTAACAGTCTCTATCTAGTATACTCACTTTCTAGATTCCTAATCCAACTTTAGTTTTAAAAGACATGTAATTTTACAAACAATTTTTCTAAGTTCTCTACTTTCTACCTGTATAAAAATTTGGCAAAATAGCATCCCCCCCACTCTGGGTTAGTTCTGTTTTGTCAAAGTCATTTAAGGCAATTTTAACATTTTTAAAAAGAATATAAAATGTGTACTTTTAAGAGTAACACATTGTAAGAATCTCAACCAGTATAAACAATGGAAACTTGGTGTCTTTCCTCCAAGGTAACCAACATTGCCATTTTCTTGACATTTGTGCATTATTCTAATACACAGATGTACAGTAACAAACAGACTCCCTCCTGTGGCCTCAGGCTGTGTCCGTTCACTGCTGGGAACAATGTTGCAGTGACAGTCCTGCGCAGAGTCATCGGGCATGGGAATGAGTCTGTCTGTGGGATACACTTCTGGAAGTGGAATTGCTGAGTCATTTAAAATACTGCACATTTGCAATTCCACTAGAAATTTCCAAATTGCCCTTCTAAGGGCTGAACTCATTTCTATTCCCTAGCCAAGTGTGCTTTCAGGGGCTGTTCTCTGGTTCCACAGCGCTGAGGGGCAACAGCTGTGGCTGAAGGACTGGAGAGCCCAAGGAGCACACCGTTCTCTAAAGTTTATTTTTTAAATATAATTTTTTTTCATTTAAAAATATTACATACTCATCATAAAAAATTTAAAGAAAAAAGTAGAAAGGAAAAAAAAATTAATCTGTTGTCCTACCATCCAGAGGCAACCGCTGTTAACGTTTGCCGAAGTTCCTTCTAGTCTTTCTTCTATTTGTTCACAACACTGTGATTCTTCTGTTCATCTAAGTTTTGTACCCTGATGTATTTCTAAAGGACGCAGAATGGGCTACTAGGTTTTATATAACAATGAGCTGGGTCACCATATAAATATAATTATATATAAAACGGATAGGTCCTCAGTTTAGATAGCTCCATGGCACCGAAAGCTGAGTTTTTTAATCAAAGTGTTTAATGAATTTCACTGTTTCCTGTAGCTTAAGGATATTAAAAAATAATGAACTTGACCCTCTATGAAGCAGTCACAAAAGCCCTGGCCTTGGAGTGATGACACCTGGGCTCTGGGCTCTGTCCTGGCTGGACCACTGCAGAGTCCTAAGACCTTGGGCAAGTCAAGTCCTCTTTCCAGATCTCAGTTTCCTCACGTGTAAACTGAAGACGGGCTGGGGTATTGCTGAGTCCCTACTGGTCGAAGGCTCTGTGCAGAAAGGAATGAACGTAGCAGGCCTGTAGCTGTCATCTGTAGAAAGACCTGCCCGCAAGGGTGCCCCAGGCTGGCGTCAGACGACTTGGATGTGTGGAGGGGGTGCCCACCACTCCTTGGGGAGGGGCTCTCTAGGCCTAGGCTGTCTGCACAAACAACACAGTTTATGCTGAGTACCGCCCTGCCTTCTGAACCTGCACTTTTGGTACATGCTAGAAAGAGGGTGCCTATGTGACCAGCGTCCAAGAAAAACCCTGGGCTGAGTCTCTAAAGGGCTTCCCTGGGGGACATTTCACACGCACTGTCACAGCTCATTGCGGGAAGAATTAAGCATGTCCTGTACGACTCCACTGGGAGAGGGCTCTTCAAAGCTGGCGCCTGGTGTCCTCTGGACTCTGTCTCATGTGCCTTTTCTCTCTGATTTTGCTTTGTGTCCTTTCACTGTAATAAACCACAGCCATGAGTACGACTACGTGCTAGTCCTGAGTTGTCCTAGCAAATTATTGGATCTGGGTGAGTTTTGGGGATCCCTGAGACAGGTTCCATGACTCAATGCCTGTGAACCAGGAATCCAAAAAGGCCTCTATGGCAAGACACACCACACTTCACTTATTTATTTTACCAACTGTCACTTAAACAAATGGCAGTACATATTATGAATCTCAAGTACTAAACAAAATAACTATTTATTTTAGATGTCTACAATAGATTTATGTCTGGCCCCTCCAGCCTGCTGGCTTTAGAGTAGGGAGAGAATCTGGAACGGGAGAAAATAAGCCTTCTGTGTGTGTGTGAGCCCATCTCATTGGGCTAAGACCTTTCTTTCTATTTCTTCGAAGTGGTGACACTGAGGAACAGCCCTCTTTATGGGCAGATGTCACCAAGCCTTCAAGTTCTCTTAACAGCACGACTAGGCATTGTCAACCCCTAGTCAAAAAATGGGTCATGTGTCTGCATTTCCTCAGCTGCTCTACTGCTCTTGTCGCTTTTCTTGCTGTGCTGTGGCCAAAGCCAGCAGTGTGGCCCAACTCTGGAGACGGGCACAGGCCAGTCCGCTCTAGGAGGAGGAGGGGAGCAGCAAAAAGCGGGCCGGTATGAGAGGGAAAGGGGAAGAGACTGCACTGTTTGCTTTTATCTTTGCTTAGAGGGACAAGTCCTAATACACAGATTTACAGTTAGTACCCACCAGCTGCCTTGCAACAGAAGAGATGTGTAACACGCAGGTGGGAGAATTACTTCCGATCTATAACCCGCATTTCTTATTCTACTACAGAAGGAACAAAGGTGATGGCCCCATTCCTAAATTCAAACAGCAAAGGACAGTTCCAAAAGGAGGATTTTATATAAATAAATGCAAGAGTAAATCTATGACTTCATAGTTGGACATCAAATCATAAGTGAAAATTAGCGTAAAATACAGTACAATTCATTACCATGAACAAGGATTAATAAAACATAGAGAAAAATAGAAAACAAAGAACACTCGTGGTCCTAACCAGCTAAACACAGGATTTGTTAACATTTGGGTGTATTTAAGTGCCAATTAAAATCTATGCCTAGGATGTGGGTGTGGGGGGTCACCAGGAGGGGCACAAGGGGGTCTTTTGGGGTCCTGGTAATGTTCTTTTTCTTGGTCTGAGTGGTAGTTAAATGGGTGTGATCACTTGTGAGAATTTATTGAACTGTATTCTTATGATCTGGGTACTCTTATTTGCATATGCTATATATCAATAAAAAGTTTAAAAAGCTGCTTCGCTTTTAAATGCTATAGTTGTAATCATACGTAGAAACATATTTGCAATCTGCCTTTGTTCCATGGTCACTTTAATTCTCCTTTCAATGTCTAAATGTCCACAGATATTTAATTTTTTAATTGCAGAAGCAGAAAAATATCATCATTTATCACTCATTCCTAAATCTTAACTATCACATCTTACATTTTTTCATATATAATGAATTACCTACCTGTAGCTACTGAGCATGTGCAATTTCACAATGAAAATGAAAACCAGAAGTGTTTCCCATAATGCCTGCATTTTAACAGTTCTAATATTTGAGTACATGTATCATAACTGATTTCTTTTTTACTGGAAACTGAAGATGCTGATGAATTTTCAATATTATCAATCATTGTGATCGATATCTTGGTGCATGAAGCCTTTACCATATGCTGAATTAACTCCTCAGCAGGTAAGCAAAAATAGAATTATTAGCTTCAAGGCTATGAAAATTTTTATAGATTGTCAAATTACTCTCCAAAACAATTGTACCATTCTAAGGAGTAATGAGCAGGCAGAAAGAGCATGGTCTGGTAGTGACAGGGACCAAGGGTTAACACTGCCTGGGACCACAGGCAGGTTCCTTAACTTCTCTGAGCTTCAGCTTCCACTCTGGAGAATGGGGACGATGTTACCTGATGCGTCAGGTTATTGTAAGGATTAAATAAACTTATATTTTGTGAGTGCCTGGTAGCTCAACAAAATCAAATACCACTAGCAATTTATGAATGTGCCACACTGTCCCCTGGGTATTCCCATTGTAACTTTTTGAAGATCCAATTTAAGAGACCAAAAGGAATTTTGTAGTTATTTTCATGTGCAATGACTTCAGTAGTAACATCTTTATCTACTATCTCCATTTCCTCTTGTGAATCTTTTGTTTTATTTTGTCCTTTATGCAGGTCTTAATTAGCTTTTTTTAAACAACAGTCCCACAATTATTTTTCTGTCTGCTTTGTTCTCTCCACCAATCACTCTATAAATTTTATTTGTGTGTGTGTGTGTGTGTGTGTGTGTGTGTGTGTGTAGTTCTATTATTATTTGTAAGATTAGAAAGTTATCTCTGTCTTAGAGGCTTGAAAACTTTTACTTTCTCCAGATTTTTATATAGTTTTATATAATTTAATTTTTATTTTTGACTATTTGACTTATTTAAAATTTAGTCTGGTGTTTATAATAAAGCAAGGTCTAACCTTTATTATTTCAAACTTCTAGTCAGTTATTTCCAAATATTTTAGGGAATAAAATAAGTACTTTTCTTTGGTGAGATTTCCTTTGAAACATGCTAAAAGCTTATATAAAATTAAGCCAAATCTAATATATGTCTTAACAATCATTTCATTTTCCCAATAAGATATTATAACTATGATCTGATATTTTAACAAGTAGATATTTTCCACTTACTCTTTTCAAAATGTATATATTGTTCTTTTTATTCAAGATACAACTGTTTTTAGGAAGCTTAGGAAAAGCAGTAATAATGTAGTTACTCTCATTTATTCAGATATGGGCACAATGTTAAAAGCTTACCTGAAATTCTGTACTGCACCAAGGTGTGACATTACTATGGCACTGAAATTAAAATGCAGAAAAATATTATGAAAAGCAAAGAATGCATTATATAAAGCAATCTGAGGAGAATTTAAATAAATGATTTTTCTTTTTTTATGTGGAGCTCCAGTTAGACAGTTAAGGATAGTTAATTTTTATTATACTTTGATACCGTGTGTTGATTAAGAATAACAGAAGGTAAGAACAATGATGTAGCTAAAAAGCTTTCACATCAGCTATAGGAAGTAGATACAATGCCAAAGAGCACAATCGAACAGGGAAATTCTCTAAGGCATTCATTTTACTATTAGGACTTATCCATGGTATCCTACAGAATAGAAACTTCAGTCATGTTCAAACAGCAATGTCTCCTGACAAAGGGTTCATTTTGAAAGGAACTACTAGAGGCATTGGCAGATTAGATCTTACAGGTAAAGCCAGACTTTGCTACTGGTGGTGCTCAAGGCCAACACAATCCAATTTTATGGCATCGAAACCACACACAACTTAAGAGCTCTCTCTTGGTATTAGGGAAGGTACCCTCCACACACATGCCCGCAGCCCTTATCCTCTCCACATTCTTAGCAGCTTCTTTTGGGGTCGTGTTACACCCAGAACCCACCCAGTCCTGCAATCAACTCGAACTTCCCCACCCAGGGAGCCTTGGGCCCAGACCCTTTTTAGTCGTCTACATCCAGCAGCCGTGCTCATTGTGAAAGGGGATGTGGCACAGCATCTGTGAGCAGTTCTCCCGTACAACAAAGGCTGGGTGAGGGCTCAGAGTGGCTTTTATGATCACAAGAGGTGTTAAGTGACTTTACAGAAAAGGAAAGAAAAGCAAGAGGTACACAAGACACAAATTATAAGACTGCATGTCCTCCTGTCACCCTGTCCAGACACGATTGAGACATCACTATAATCCACATCTCTATGTCGTCGTCCCCACCCCGAGCTTGCCACAGTTCTCAAAGAGTCCCCACCCCTTTAAAGGGGCTGAGTTAGCAGTGACGATGGGCTCAAAGGGCTCAAAGGATCTTGTGTGTATGGAGAAGTACTGGGTTAAGAGGGGATTCAACTGCCAGCCCTAACTCAACTATTTGAATTCTGGACTAAGAGGTGATAAGGAGGTCCCTCATTACAATGGCTCTCTAATCCCAAATGGAAAAGCCCATGCCAGTGACTGAATGACACTGCGAATGGCTGATGAAGTTATCTGTGATAGATCTAAAAGGTTAAAAGGCAGATTGCTGAATTTCAGGCTCTTGGGAAAAAGCTTTATAATGACCATAATTCCAGATGGCCGCATCTTCAGAAAGGAAAAAGTAGGCTTTGTTTTGCGTAAAGCAATTTAATTACTCATTAAAGTTTCCTTTCAAATACTGAATGATAGTTCTACTTTATATTCCCCTTTTGATCTTAATTTGCAGAGAACTTGAATATCTTTCATGTCGTTACTATTTTATTAAGTAAATTGAGGAAGGATACTTACTCTGTCCATTACCGAATACTGCTTTGGTCATACCCAAAGATACATAATATGATGACTTCAGTGATACCATGACAAATCGGATCATTTCCTATTTTTGAATTTGCTAAAGCAATGGTTCTCAGCAACAGTAATACCATTCCTGAGGGGCATTTTGGAAACACTGGGGTTGTTTCTGGTTGTCATAAGAATCTGGGGAGCCAGGATGTTAGCTGTCCAGCAAAGCACACTGAATAAATGTCCCACGTAACTCTGAATATCCTGCTAGCCTAAACCCACTGTAATTATAAATAAGTGGTCCTTCAGTACGTGGTAATAGTAAAACGTTTTTATAAGCAGTTTCACAAAAAGTCCAATATTTAGAAGTTTGTGCGCAGCATAAGAACTGGTCCTGTCCCCAGGGGTCTCCCACACGGCTCCTACTCCTTTTCCCAATGGCATTTCAAGATAAGAGATGTATTTCCAGTGACTCATCATTACTCTAAAGTTTCATGTCATAACGTGGGGACTGATTTCACACAATATTTTTAAGTAACGCCCAGGTTACTTGCAAGGCCATCACACCTCTTCATTTCCTCCACTTCAGCAAACTCCAATCTGTTTTTGTACATCAGCCCCACTTCAGATAAGGTTGGAACCCGCTTCCTCGTTTTGCTTCTGTGTCCACCTACACCTCCACTCCTTCATTTTCTTGATCATCTTGCATGAACTGCTTCTGGTCCTATATTCCTAAATACAAACGTCTTTAGTATAAGTAACTGTATTATGTCCCCTGGGGGTAGTCACCCAAGAGTGTCTATATGCAAATGTATGTTATGTTATTGAAATTACTATCGTTTTCTTTCTTTTCATACTACTCATTGGGCATTACGTTGGTAATATTATGTGTGTTGAAAGCTCTCTCACACCGTGACAGTGAATATCTGCTAGAGCAGAGGCTGTTAGTGCTCATGTGAAAATTCAGCGAGGGAGACATAAGCGATGTTGGGAAAGGTAGCCCTGCAGTCGAGGGTGCCAGCCTGGGACCGCAGGGGCCTACGTACCTGTCGGGGCACAGGGAGATGTAAAGCAGAAACAGGGGCATGGCCCCGACGACAGTGGCTAAGGAGGACCGCATCCAGGAGCTGAGCTGGCAGAAATTACAGTAGTGCACGACGGCGATCAGAATGGCCGAGCCCGTGAACACCGTGAACTGCAATGAGGGGCAGGCACTCAGTTAGGACCACCCACTCCTCGGCTGGTGAGCCCACTCGCCACCCGCCACCCGAGCACTGTGAGACCAAATGATTTGCTCACTTATCTGTGTTTCCATTTAATATAAAAATATTTTTAAAAATGTCCAGCAGTTTCAAGGACAGATAATGAATTATTAAGCTAATTACCCAGAGCTTCAGAGTACAAGTTCACGCGGGCACTAAAATTCTCCAGATGTGTGGAAATCACGACTTGGAGGAAAGAGAAGGTAAGCTGCCCTGTTTGAGAGCTGCCACTGTGTAACCAGTTACCTTCAAAAAGCCTTTCCTTCAGGCACCTGCTGTGCGTCAGCAGAAATGAAACTTGGTGTTAAAGCATCAAATGCCTGCCCCGGTGGTTCATGTTACAGTCATTTTTACCCAAAATATAATCTTCTACACTGCATTAATTTACTCTTGAGTTCAACTCAGAAGCTCCTTCCCTGATCACCAGCAGCAGACTCAGGTGCAAGCCAGTTACCTGTGCCCGACCTGCAGGCCAGCACTTTATCCTGTATCCCTCACGTTTCTTTAGGCTGTAAGACATCTAAGAAAATAACTGACTTGGACCTTGGTGGACACCAGGAAAGGCTGGACAGGACACGTGTCCACTGGGAACTCTCCCCGAGGCAGGGCAGCATCTAATCAGCATTCATGAGTGTGGCAAGGTCAGGCTCAGACATCTGGGCAGGCCACATGCTGACCTCCTTACCTGCTCCTCTGTCCCAGGCAAGACTTTTAAAAAGACAAGCTCATAGGAATGACAAAGAGGTTGGTTGCACCTCCTTCAGGGCCTATATTAAGTGAGTGTTCTAAGTCATCAGGCTTTTTTTTTTTTTTAAGTGATGAGAGAGTCCAGAGAGCACAAAAGTAAAATCGTCAAGCCTTTACTTACATGTATGTTTGTCTCAAACTCCGAGGTGATATGTGAATAGACTGCGAGAGCAGGGAGTGACACCAGGATGGCCCCGATGAAGTGGCGTGGGAGCCAGCCGGCGATCCATTCCAGCAGGTGCTTGGTACAAGTCATCACGTCCTCCAGGAAAAACACCATCCTGTGACAGGGAGGGGAAAAGGAGAAATGAGGTGCCTGTGGGTAGGTCAGCGTGCCAGAGAAGATGGGGGCAGAGGACCAACAGCCAGCACCATGCCCCACTCTCGCCCATGCTACTGCCACTGGCGTGAACAGCAGGCAGAGCTCCCACACCCCTCGCTTTTGGTAAATGGCAAGGACACTGGACTCGCTCAGCTCATCATACCGTAAGGTCACTTGCTGCATTCTGATACGATGTGTTTGTAAAAAGTCAAGCATAAGCCTCTATGGGTCTAACCCAGGGGTGGGCAAACTTTTGAGATGGAAGAGCCAATCCTGTCCCTCAAAACAATTTAAAAATAAGAGCTCGCTCAAGAGTTTGAGCTCTGAGCAACAGCGGTTTGAGTCCCGGCCCGAGCTGAGCTGCCGCTGAGCTGCCAACAGGTGGCAGGATGGCTCAGCTAAAAAAAAAAAAAATTAAAAATTATTCGAGAGCCACAAATATATTTTTACATAATCACCATTATGTGAATAATATTCTTTAAAAATTTTATAAAAGAAACTATGATGGTTTTATTTTCATTTTCAATTTTACTTCAGAGCCACATGTACGTACCCAAACAGCCACATGCGGCTTGCCAGCCGCAGTTTACCGACCCCTGGTCTAACCGAACAGGTAAGAACTAGGGATGTAGGTAACAGGCCTCGTGAAAGGTGGCCACCTTGTTGTCGTCTGCTTCTGGGGCAGGAGGTCTCAAGTGGACATTCTGGAATTTTGTGGGGCCTTTTTGGTTGCCAAAGTGATTGGAAAGGTGCAACTGGCATCTAGTGAGCAAAAGCCAGGGATGGAAGGCACCCTGCCCTGCACCCCACATGACTGTCACATGTCCCCTGGACATGCATTGAGGAGAAACACCTGCTGATAATGACCTCGGCCTAGAGGCTAGTTGCATTTCATTTAAAAGCAGGAAGTGGTTTCTACATGGTATTGACATACACTTTTCCAGGAATAAACTACTGTGTAAAACAAGCAAGATTACCCTTTGTTTTGTCTGGGATGTCACCAAGAGTCATTCAGCATTTCAGGAATCATGTCACAGGCTGCAACTCAGCCCATGGTGCTTGTGCCACCAAACCTGCACACCTCTGATGGTCCACGTTTGGAACTGTCACATTTGCAGATTATGCGCATGAGGGTAGACAGCTGACAGTGCCCTGGCATATTTGAGATGAAGTACTAGGTATTTTATTTTATGTGGCTTTCTTGTTGTTTCTCCTTCATACTGGAGTGACAGCATTTCACTGATTCTCTTTGAAGCTGTGTGTATAGGTGGGCTATATTTCAGGATAGTGACGTGGACATCATCAAATATCTTTCACCAAGAAGGGAGCTGAGCGTGTGGGGCTGAGAACTGTGGGCCTGGAGAAAGAGTGGCCTTGGCTAAGCGAGGGACCCCAGGGTCAGGAGGGGCCTGAACCTCCTGGGAGATGGGGGACAGGGCAGCAGGGCTCTCTTTTAGGAGGGAGACCTACACACACAGTTCCTCTCTGAAGTCAGTCCCAGAGGAGGGTAGAAGGCAGCTAGGCCCACTGGAGGGGCCAGGAGCCGCTGCTGAGCTTCAAGGACACGAAGTTCTGTCAGTGCCTCTGTCACACACACAGGCACCCGTGCCTTCAGGCCTGGACACCCGGTGCGCGACTGCTCTGGCCTCCACAAGGAAACCCCGATCTTGGCCATCTCCCACATGGAGCCAGGTCCATCTGACCCTTTTAGGTACCTAATGTTTCTGGCCTCCTGGTACTTAAAGAATAATAGAATCCTTGGACTATTTCCAAGAACAACCACAAATATGCTCAAAGGCAGTATGCATAAGCCCTACAAGGAGACAAAGGGAGCTGAGCCCCAGCCAGGAGGAGGCAGGACTGAGAGGCCCTCCACGTGGGTCCCCAGGACTGCAAAGTTCCAACGATGAGACCCTGTTCTCATTCCTGCCTAGGGCACAGTGCAAACAGCTGGAGTGGAGGGACAAGGGCCCAAGCCCAGATGTGGGCAGCCTGAAGATGAGGTGCCAACCTCAGGGCTGGCCATGGAAGCAGCTGCAGAACTGGCCTACATGTAGGTTCTTGTTGGTCTGGGATCCTAAATATAAAAACTCCCTTGGGGTCCTGATCTTTCCCAGGCTTTGCCGATCCTGGGTAAAGTGAACTTTTAAAGTCGCACCAGAGGTCATTCAGGAGCACAGTGGCCACCCCATTCACCTGGCCCAGCACCCCAACATGCGGGCACAGCCAGGCCTGGCATCTACAGTCTTTAAACCTGGGTTAGCACAGACACTGCAGAATTAGGTCTGAAGGAACAGAGAACAGTGGTATAAAAGTTTTTTTTTAAAAAAATGTATGGAGACAATGCTAGCCTTAGAGAGATCAAGAGCCTTATCTAGCAGTAGGCCCTGAGCTAGACAGAAACCTGGGGCTGGGGCAGGGAGAGAAGGGGAGAGGCCTAACTGCAAACGGATACTGTGTTTTCTCTGGGATGATAGAAATGTCCTAAAATTACATGGTGATGTTTGCACAACTCTAAGTTTACTAAAAGTCATTGAATTGTACACTTAAACGAGTGAACTTATTATATGTGAGTTATATCACAATAAAACTAAATTTAAAAAGGAAAGAGGAGCCTGAAAATGCCTTGGTTTTGGTGCCCCAGAAACAGAGCTGCTTTGGGAGTGGATCCCAGGCAGCTAGGTGAGGGGTGCAGAGCCGGGACACCGAGGGGGCAGGCCCGTAGGTAGGGCTGTGTTATGGAAGAGTCACTTGCTGTGGGCAACGCAGCTCCCCCCAGCTGGAGGGGAATTCGGGGGAGACAGCAAGTATGCACCTCAGAGTTACCTCAACCAGGGAAGGGTGATCAGGGTGTGGCCTCTGGCAGCAGGGAGACAGCCCTCCACAAAGAGCTGGTGGTGTGGGGTGTGGGGGGTGTTGAGCGTAGAAGGGAGCGGGGCAGGCATACAGTCTCAGGGCTAGACCTGAAACTGCTGTTCCCTGTCTGGGATGTTGGGGAAGAGGAGCAGAAACTCAAGGTCAGGGCCCCTTCTCCCTGTTTCTGCTTTACCCCCAGCTTCTGGAAGCAATTACTAGTGGGACCCTGCTAGGCCAAAAGGCTGCCCTGTTGGGAGGGACAGGGCTGGACAGAGGAGGTGGCTGAGGCACAAGGATCAGTATCATGGTGTCCAGGAGGCAGATGGCACAGGGTGGTCTGCATGCGTGTGAATGGAGGGCCCTGTGCATTCACACCTGGCCAGAAATGTGCAGAGCAGCTGTGAGTTTCCTCGGTGCTGGACTGAACCCCAATATCAGGCAAGGTGGGTCCTGAGGGGCCACTGCTGTCTATTCAGACCCTCTGTTGATTTTTAAATGGGTGATCTTTTTACTATTGAGTTTACATTCTAGAAATTAGACCCTGGACATAAATATGATGTGCAAATATTCTCTCCCACTCTGCAGGCTCTCTTTTACTTTCGTGATCATGGTATTCTTTGAACTTAAAAGTTGTGAATTTCTACATAAGTTCAACCAACTTATCTATTTTTTCTCTGGTTGCTTGTGCTTTTTGTGTCACATCTAAGAAACCATTGTTTGATCCAAGCTCACAAAGACTCATGTCTATGATTTCTCCTAAGGGTTTTATAGTTTTGCTCTTACATCTGGGAGAGGTACCTGCTGCTCTGCTGGCAGTCCCCTATCATTTGCACCCTAAATACTTCTTTTCTTTTTTTCTCTTCCCTTTCTTATTCTCTGCCTTCCCACTTTTTCTTTTTAAGTCTCTGACTTGGGATATGCAGGGACTAGCTGGTGGCATGCGGGCTGCAGAGGACACTGACCTCTGGTAAAGACGATGCCCGCCTATGCCGAGGGTCAGGGTCTGCGAGGGAGGAACCGAGGGCCAGGGTCGGGGAAGCAGGGCTGGGGGAGGGAAGGAAAGAGGACTTGCCCCCTGAAACGAGCTCCCAGAGACAGCTGGCTTCCTTCGGACTGCTGGTCAGTCATAAACTGTTGAGCCAGCAGAGGGAGCTAAAGGCTAAAAGCTGAGAGCCACCCTGCAGGGGAGGCTTTACCTGACAGAGACCACCAAGGACAGCACCTCCAGCAGCAGGGCTGCGCTGAAGACAGCCAGTGCGGCGGGCGGGGGAGGTGTGGTGGCGGACCCGTACTTCAGGAAGCAGGTGATGGAGAGAATCAGAAACACTGTTGTCGACAGAAACACATCCAGGAGGGAGCTGAAGGTGGCGCTGGCAAAAGTCTTCACGGGAGAATTCTTCATAACCTGTTTGGGGTGGGAGGGAAGGTGGAGGAACACGACAGATGGCCGCAGAGTATGATTTAGGTGGAAAAACCTGAATGTTTTTCCTACACTTTCCTGAGCACTTGCGTACCCTGACCAGGTACAGGGTGATGAGTACGTTAGGTGGGCCAGCTCCCTAATACCACTCCACTTAAAAATGAGGAAACTAAAGCACAAAGTTAAAAAACAAAACAAAATAAAACAAAAAACAAAAACAACTTGTCCAAGGTCACACAGCAACTGATTACAAACCAGTAACTTCTCACAGGTGCATTACATACTGAGCCTGAAAGGTGAGTTATTGACTAGCAAAGTCAATGAATCTGCTTCTATAAAGGCAGTCACACCAAAGACAAGTTCTGGAAGCTTCCACTGAATGGCTGGGTCCCAGGTTCAGGATGTGTGAAAGCTTGGGTTACGCTGGAAATAAAAGGCAGGACTGAAGCAGCACATGAAAACATGGGTATGTCAACTGACAGGAAGAGATGCTCACGCCTTCATCCAGGAGCGTGCTCTGGGCCTCGATCTGTGCGGAGTGCTAGGGGCAGGCATGGAACGAGGCCCTAGGGGAGCTCCAGCTGCAGACGAAAGGGGCCAGGAAATGACAGGCCTGGGCTGTTAGATAAAGGAGCACAGAAAGATTTGGAGTTTTCTCCCTTGTGTATGCAATGTTAGGGCTTAACTATTATGGGAAATTAATATGAGTCTTCATTTTCCTGTCACTCAGGAAAACAACAAAGGCTGCCAAAGCACAATGCTAATTGTAAACTATCCAGTGAAAAATGACACATTTCTTTGGTAACACTATACGGAACACACACCTCTTCTTGATAGCTGGTCCTGTAGGCTTGTTCGAGTTCCCGATCCAGGAAGTTCAAGCTGAACTGATTAATGGGTGGCTTAAAGAAATAATCTTTCATCAGGCTATAAGAGACGAAAAATGCAACCGATCAACATGCAGCACAATCATTATATTTATTTTATCAGAAGATCACCTATTAGCTACCGAAACACCATGCGTTAATAAGCACGTCGAACAAGCTGTATCTAAAAGTCACTATGGTAGAGACATGGCTCGATTGCTCCTTTGAGAACATCTCTCTGGAAAGTGTTTTCAAACATAACCACATTTTATGTTTTTCCTTCACTAAAGAATGACTACTCACCGTAATTATAACACATATCAATAGAACCTGCTTTGGAAAACATCTTTCTGCTGTCCAGAATGAGAAGAAGGCAGCTATTTTGTTCTATGAAGCCGTCCTTCTCAAGGACCAGCAGATCCCTGTGCTGAGAGTACTGAAGTTGATTTGGAGGCTTCCAGTGAAAACATAATTCGGAGCCGGCTGTCCTGTCAGTCAGAGTTCTGACAGTAATCACCACTGTCAAAGCTAACAGGTTGTTATTACAAAACTGTGTTTACAGTTAGTATCATTTAGGTGCTATTGTCCCAAATGCAGATTGTGTGTGAAACCCGAACAATGATAACGCTCAATGACTTTATAGCAGAGAAATCAAACCTGTCTTATGCAACTCATTCTTTTATAGAGTGCTAGCAAATAGTAATATCCTTTTTCTACTGCAGAAAATGACTATAAGTTTAAGGGAACGTTACCTTGGTTTCAGGAGGAAAATATAGCCGTGAGGTGTACAGTCTCTCTCCCTAATACAACAACTACTAGAATTAAAGCAGATGAAATGGGTAAAGTGCCTAGAATGTGCTTGATGCACAGTAGGGTTTGCTGTACATATGCTCCTTCCTTCCCTTGCAGCACAGTGGACTCTCTTTTTTTCTTTTCTGTTAAGTGTGCAATACCTGACTGCACTCTCAGACTCAGAAGAGTGAAAATTCTATCCCCTAATGTTGACCTCCCCGCTACAACATCCTACGAATGCTAAATATGTTTTTTTCCAGTGCACATGGTATGTTCACCAAAAAGACCACATGTGAGGTCATAAAACAAGTCTCAATAAATGTAAGGACTCAAATCACACAAAGTATATCTTTGACTATGATGACATTAAATTAGACATCAATAACTAACATTTAAATACCATTCTTCACAAAAAGGAGCGAGGGCTCTTTCAAGAAATGGCTGACTCCTGAGCTGGGGGAGGGAAGACACGAAATGAGCCTGGAATATCCTGTTGTTTTAGAATGTAAGAAATTGCTCAAAACCAATGATGGAGCTATGTCAAAAGGATGCAGCAGCCAGCCTGAAGGGGGGCTCCCAACGGCTAGATTCAGGGAAACTAGAGCATCAAATGAGAGTCAGGGCAGCGATGGACTATAACCTATTAAGTAAAACAGGACTCCATGAGCTCAGGTGAATAATAGATGGGTAGATAAGGGAATGAATGGGAAGGGCTTTTCTTTATACTAGAATGCCGAGTGCCAAGTGAACTGTGCAGTTAGTGCTGGAGTAGGAAAATCACCATTCTGAACCATCAGAGTAAAGACTGTTTCAGGCAAAAGCCATCAGTGGAAAGGTTGATGAGGAATGGGATATTTACATGATCTTAAAGCATCTTCCCACAGACTGCTTATTAGTCACAAGGAGAAAACTATAGATTGGGGGAGTTGGCCACACCTGCCTGGTTGATCAAAATTACTATAGCAGGTGAAGGATAAATGGGCACCTGGTTCCTCTGGATATGATACCTGAGAAGGACACACCCCTTCTGCAGTGCCTGTCCAACCTGAATGCATTCACAAGGAAACATCACAGAAATCCAACTTCAGGAATATTTTATAAAAGAACTGGGCCTGCATTTTCCAAAAATGACATCATGAAAGCCACTGAAGGGCTGAAGAACTGTCTTAGACTTAAAAAGACTAAAGAGGCATGACAACTACATCATACAGCCTGTGATGCTGTACTAGATCCTGTACCAGAGGGAAAGGCAGTGCTATCACGAACATATTGGACCAAGTGACAAAATTGGAATATGGACAGATTAGATAAAGTATCACATCAATGTTAAATTTCCTGATTCGATAACTATGATTATATAAAAGAACATCCTTGTTTTTAGGAAACAGAGTATTAGGGATAAAAAGAGTGATGTATCCAACTTACTATCAAATGGTTCAGAAAAAAATGAAAAATAAATTTCAGAGAGAAAGAGAGAGAGAGAGAGAGAGAGAGAGAGAGAGAGAGAGAGAGAGAGAGAGAGAAGGCTAAAGAAAGCATAGTAAAATGTTAAAAGTTGGAAAATTGGGCAAAGGGTATAAAGGGAATTCTTTGTATTATTCATGCAACATTTCTGCAAGTTTCAAATTACTTCAAAACAGAATAATATAGTAATACTGGAGGTAATTCAGAAAAGGGGAGCAGCTTCCACCTGCAAACTTTACTTCAATGCCCATGGCTCCACTCTTACCTGTCTTCTTTGATAACATCAACGAAGTGGGCATCTGTTTTCTCCCGGATATTCTTGAACCTCAATGGAAGGAGAGCAGACTGGTCCAAGCTGACACCTGCCCACTTTCCCTTTTCCTGTAGGATCTCACACAGGGACGTCTGGCTGTTGGTGAGCTTCTCCTCTTGAGGAGGGCTCAGAAGTCCGTTTTGGGTTTTGGAATTAGGTCCTCCAGGAGCCTGCCTCAAGACAGAGGGAAAGACACAGAGGTGACCCCTGGGTGTGCAACAGCGCTATTCCACCCGACCTTTCTGCCATGCTGGGGTCCCGCTGGACTGCATGCTGCACCTTCAAATCTCTGTTCTAATCTGAACACTCAAACCTCTCCACCCAGTTGCTTCTTCCCATCCCCCTAGCTTAACAAATCGCACCTCCAGGAGTTCAGGCAACAAAGGAGGTGACATGGTGGGAAGAGCCAGTAGGAAGTGGAGAGAAGGCTAAGGGAAGAGCTGAGGCTCTTGAAGTTTGCAGAACCAGGGCTCCAGATGGCCCTGAGGGAGGTTTGGGCACTCGGGGGAAGTACGAGGGTGGATCCAGGGAACGTAAACCCAGAGCCATAAGGGCAGTGACTCAAGAAGGGGTAACTCGTTATAAGTGACATGGACTGACCCAGCGTCACACAAGTCCATGGGCAGATGATGTGAGGGTAAAGGATGGCCGATGTAGGCCTCCTGGAGGGTCAGCCTTCAGAAGCTGTTTGAAAGGCTCTCGTGTTTGGTCTGCTTTCCACTTTCCAAGTGAGACTTCTCTGGTAGTTTACTTACTGCTGTCTCTAACCCCAGGGCCCTCTTCATGGTGCATTTCTCATCCCAAGAGGCCCCTCTTCCCTTTGCACATTCGGCCATATCTTGAGTCCAGCTTCCAGCCCCACAAACCTCCCCTAACTACTCTAATCCACACGTCTTCAAACCCTTATTGCCCACTAGGGATCCCATCCAGTTCAGTGAGTGATGACTCTACTTCTCATAGGTTAGTTCTGACTCTCCACCCTGTTCTTTATTGGGCTGCTCAAAGCCAAAGGACTAGAAGGCATGGAATGCTATCACCTAAGAGGAGCTATTCTCAGAACTGAGAAGTTGACAACACAGGAGTGTCATCTCAGGTGGAGGAGCCCGGAGAGGAAGTGACAGGAATGACAGCCAGGAGCGTGCTACCTTGGTGTTATTTTTATGCTCCTCCTGACAGCCGTTTTGCACTGCTCCTCCTTCTGTGCCAGCTTCCGATTTGGGAGCAAACGTGATTCCGCATGAAGGGCAGGTCTACAAGAAAAACACACACCATAGGAACTCACCCAGGAAACACGACCACAATATGTAATTTAAACAAGTCTGCTGTTGTTGCAATTTGCTGTCACGGAGGATGGCTACAACCAAAAGGAAGGCTTACTGAACCATTCAAAGCTGAGTTAAAGACAAACTGGCAAAGAGAAAACGGAAACACATCCACACAAAGACCTGTAATGAATGTTCCATAAGAGTCACAAAGTAGATATAGCTCAAATGTCCATCAGTAGATGAATGGATCAACAAAATGCAGTCTAACCACACAATGGACAGTATTATTCAGCCACCAAAAGGAATGAAGTAGTGGCTGAGGCTACAACATGGATGTACCTTGAAAACATTACACTCAGTGAAGGAAACCAGACACCAAAGGTCACATATTATATGATTCCATCTATATAAAATGTCCAGAAAAGGGAAACCCATAGCGTTGGAAAGGCAATTGGGTGTTGGCAGGAATAAGAGGGATATTGGAATGGGGAGTGATCTAATGAACAAGGGATCCCTTTTTGGGTGATGAAAATGTTATAAAATTGATTGTGGTGACAGTTGCATAATCTTGCAAAAATACTAAAAACCACCAAATTGTACACTTTAACAGGTTAAATTTTCTGGTATGTGAATCACATTTCAATAAAGCTGCTATTGAACAGACAGCCTGGCCGCTACCCTATGTGAGAGTACCAAGCCAAGGGCCTTGAGCTCTGTGTGAAGGTAAGCAGTTCCTATAAAACAGGCTGACTAATCAGAGTGACCTGTTTACAGACCTAGGAATTCTTAAAAGCTTACAGGAATTAGCTGACCCAGAGAAGAGAAGGCAAGACAATACTGACAGATGAGAAAAGGCAAGCTTTTGTTTCTCATAAACCAGGATTCAAATCCCACCTCGATTCCTTAATTGTTTGGAGAAAACCCTCTTCGAATCACTCACCTCAGTTCTCGCATCTATAAAACGAGAGTGATAACACTTTTCTTGAAGATATGTCATAAGGATTAAATAAATATGTGTATAAACAGCCTAGCATCATTCCTGGCTCTCATTGTATCCTTAATAAATTTACTATTATTATTAATGTGACCCAGTAAACTAGGAACTGTCACTGAGATAGCAACTAACTGCTTCCAGTGGAGAAGACAAACTGTAGCAAGAAAGACTTATTAGGACTCAAAAAATTTCCTTGCATAAGCATTGTTAAACACTAGACTACATTATAGGAGGCCAGACATTATTTCAGAAATTTAAAATAAGTGTCATTTAGTGTCTAAAGGCAAGCATATGATCACATCCCAAGTAAGATTTCAGGTCTGTACTGTATTAAATAAAAGAAATAAAGACTCTAAAGATGTGAAATTTGGGAATCTGATATAACACACACACTAAGTTTAAACATTCATATTCATTTGAAAAATGAAAATATACATGCCAAAAGAGCTGGCCAAATCATTAACATACCTGAGCAAACAGTAGCACCTAGGTAAAATTTATTTACAGCTCTGTAAAAACTGACATTATTAACAGGGGCAAAATGTTTTAATTGTTAATGACAAACAATAAACTGATTTTAAAGCACCTCTTGGTATTGACTGAGTAAAACTTCAAAAAACTGATTTTAAAGCACCTCTTGGTATTGACTGAGTTAAACTTCAAAACATTTTACCAATGGGGCCACTGATCTTCTCAAAAAAAAAAATCCAATATCACGCACATAAGAGTGACCCTCTCAGCCCCCATGACAGGAGTAAAGTATGCAAACCCACAACACACCCAGAAAAACCCCAAGGGCGCCCCCTAGCTGGGATGGGAGTAAATGGCTTTGGTGGTGGCAGTGGTGGCTAGTTTGCTTCTCTACGGGAACACTATCCTTTTCCGGGGCCAAGTGGTGGCCTGGTGGTGAAGTAGATATAGCTTGGAGCGTTGGGACTGTTTGAGAGACTCTGATTCAAACCCCTAAGGTCCAGGGCCTTTCACCAATCTCGTAAAGACACGATGAAACAGTAAATAGCTATGTCTCTTACTACGTACTTTTTAAACATTAAGACTGGAGAACTAGTAACAGTGACCAAAGGCACTGGCTTTGAAATGAAACTGTTATGGACTGAATCCTGGTTCTACCACTTCATAGGGAATCTCTCTGGGTCTCACTTTCCTCCTTTGTAAAATGGAATTGTATCTACCTTGAAGAATTATTATAAGGGCAAACTGAGGAAATACAAGTGAAGCATGTCAGAGGTATTTTAAACCAGCTTCGTTCTGTGCACTGAGTCTAATCCCATGGCACAGACTTCCTACAGCAGTGAGCTGAGGATGATGAGGCCCCACCCTGGCCAAAGGGAGGAGAGCTGTGATTGACGGGGGATCTCTGCCATGGGTTAAGAGTTGGATGAGTGGAGGCATGCATGCACTTATCACATGTGGCTCCACACAATGCCTGAAGTATTAGTGCTCAATAAATGTTGGTGCTTAATATTAAAACTTCTGGTCATTGGGCCGGCCGAGTGGCTCAGTTGGTTAAGAGCTTGCTCAAAAGTTCGAGCTCTGAGCAACAGGGTCGCCGGTTCGATTCCCACATGGGCCAGTGAGCTGCGCCCGAGCTGAGCTGCCGCTGAGCTGCCAACAGGCGGCAGGGTGGCTCAGCTGGTGAGAGCACGTGCTCCTAACAACAAGGTTGCCTGATTGAGATGGTGGGCTCTGCCCACCAGCAACTAAAGACTGAACTCGGCAGCCTGAGCTGAGCTGTTGCCCGTGTGGTTTAGGGGATACAGAGCATTCTTAACAACAAGGCTACTGGTTCGACTCCCGCATGGGATGGTGGCTATGCCCACCTGCAGCTAACTGACATAGCACCTTGAGCTGAGCAGCGCTACTAGACTTGGAGCTGAGCTTGCTGTGCCTTCCACAACTAAGATTGAAGGACAACAACTTGGCTGTTCCCCTTACCCAATTCCCCAACACTGTTCCCCTCTCCCAATTCCCCAATAAAATCTTTTTTAAAAAACCAAAAAAACAGCTTCTGGTCACTGTTCTGTTTGGTTGTGAAGATAGTTCATCTGGTAATTTAATGGCCTTGATCACAGACAGGACAGCCATCCTTGGTATCTGCTCTTGTGTACCCATTTCTTTTTGAGATATCTCTTGGCATTAGTTTGTTTCTAAGTATTTTTTTCTCAACTACACCTGATACACTTTAAGAACAGGTCACTTGATTCTTAGGAATTCCCATGGCACACTGGCTTCACGTATATAAGATGTTTTATGCATTTAAAGCCACAAATACAAAACAGTGAGTATCAAACCTATTGGACAGCAGAGGGCACACACCCTCTGCAAAGGATCCCCTCAACAGAAATCAAGACCACGCAACTCAGATTTTGCACCCTCTCTGTGAAGGTCTTGGCTGTGAAGGGGTTGGAAGGCCAGTGGAGAGTGGGGGTGCCCATGGAGACTGGCTGATCTCCGGGAGCCTGGGGTAGTGGTCTTCATAGATAGGCAAGTCAAAGTGACGTCCCTTTGACAAAGAGAGGCTAGGTGGCCTGTACCCTGCCGTGATAAAATGTTCTAATGTGGCGGTAAGGTCTTGTAGAGCTGACCATTAAAGAATCTCAGGGAGTGAAGGTAGACATACACTGTCAGAGCCCAAACGTCCGTAAATGGTCTAGAAGTCTGCACTCAGGGAGGTCTGGGGGCTCACTGGGGTACCCTACCGCCTCTGGAAGCATGCCTGAGCAACTGACTCGGAGGAAAGCAACGGGGGCAAATCCACTAGATAAAAATCACTGTTGTAATGATAGCAGCTGCTATGATTTAGAAATGCTAATGTGCAGAGGGCACATCAATGAACAATAATCAGATCCTTATCCAGGTGATGTCTGCAGTCTCATGTACTTGATCTCAGTTAATCCTCACAGCATGGTGAGGCAGAAGGGATTACCCTGAGGACACAACAGTGGGGTGAACTGCAGGGCTCCTGGCCCCTGACCACCATGCGGCCTCTCTGGCCTTGCCTGTCACAGGAAGACCCAGGAATAATCCTGGCACTCTGACCTCCTCTGCCTCATTCCCCGAGTGATCCACACAGTTAGGACCACCTCCTGGTTCTTTTAACTGGCACTACTGGCACACTGGCACCGAGGGAAGCTTCATCAAGAGCAGCTAAGGTCCCCAAAACTGAGTACTCTACAGGCTAAGTTGTGCACTGGCCGTTGCCTGGGAAACCCGAGATCCCTGGAGAATACCCAAGAGCAAGCTCTGCATTTTCCCAGATTATCTGTGCTCCTTCCCCCAGCGCGGATATGGGCTCGGGGGAAGCGTATAACTATTTCTCTAACACACTTGGGCACATTTACATTTGTTTTTAACACATTTCCATACATGAGCCTTACATTCTGTTCAGAATACATGGCACAAAGCTATAGTTTTTTTCCAAGGCCATTTCTCTTTACAAGATAAATCATTTCTAAGCCAACAGCTGTCCTTTTTCATAACTGTCAAGGGAGGGAGCAGGGAAGCCTCTTTTCTGAGAAATGAGGAGGAAACATCAGAGAAGCCCTGGCTTTGCCTGTGGAGTATGCTGAACATGACTGTTTAGCAAGTTGCCCGGAGACCAGAGCACCCCTTGCTCCCCAAACTCAAGGTGAATGTGGAAGACAGGAGCATGCACCAGTAAGAGCAAACTTGGCCTACTGAGGCACTTTTCACATTCTCGGCACTGTGCCTGTGTCACTTCATTTAGTCCTCAGCAGCACCCATGAAGCCGACACTATGATTAGCCCCATTTTACAAAGGAGGGAACTGAGGCAGAGAAGAGAAGGGACTTGCCCAGAGTCACACAACTAGGAAATGGTAGCAGTGCCCTCAACCCTAACTATGCATGTGACATCTCCAAGTGAACATGAACTGCCTACAATGTAGGCAGAAGTCACCCTCATCACTACATGTCACTGGCAGGCCAGCCCATGGCCTCTTAAGGTAGTGGACT